ATAAGTAAAATAAGATTTCCTGACGTTTTTAGTTTAAAGTTACAACTATCCGTTTTATTACTTTAACTTTGCTAGAATATTTTTAAAAATGTAAACTATCAGAAACAATACCTGCAATATTTATCAAAGAGAAAAAATAACAAGGGTTCAGTGCGTTATAAAAAAAATTCCTCAGAGCAGTAGCTCCTACCTGTCATTAAACGCTTCAACTAAGGAAAAATCTGATTTTTCTCCTCACTTATTTACTTATAAATTAATTATCTTTCAGAACGTCATCGCTGGTTCATTATAAGTAGCGCCACAACCGCTTTTGACTTTTAAAAATCCCAAATTCCGGAGAATAAAGGCTTTCGTGCTAATACTGGCTGACATTCTGCGCTTAGAGAGGCGGCAACACAAAATGTTGACGCTGATGAAATAATAAATTTGATCAGTGTCAACATCGGGGTTACTTAAGGATTAAATTTACAGCGAGAATGATGATGACATACTTTTGGGAATCCTTCGGAGACTTGGCGAGACTTTGCTACGAAGACATGAGATTTTTCAAGCTCTTAACGATTCTTTCCACGAGACAAAAGAAATATCGATCCTCTCTCCGTTTAAATGGGAAAAGGACGCCAAATCTAAGTTTATGGTGAAGTCTGAGAAAAAGCAACGGCAAATTTAGAGGCGGTAGGAAAAGCGCAGTAGTTCTATTGTAAATTTTATGATAATTGCTTAAATGGGAAAAGGACACCAAATCTAAGTCTATGGTGAAGTCTGAGAAAAAGCAACAGCAAATTTGACGCGGTTGGAAAAGCGCATAGTTCAATTGTAAATTTGATAATAATTGAAGACCGCGAGGGAAGAACGGTTTAAGTCCACAAAAGCTGATTCGGGAAAAAACCGGTTTTGAGCCTGGAAATGAAGATTTTTTTCATTAAACGTCCCATTTCACTGTGTAATAATTCTCGGGAGGACAGATTTTTCAGACTAATGATTAGTCAAAACTTAGTAATCTTCAAAATGCAATAGATGGCAATCTGATCGTTATTTTTATGAAAAATGGACAAAAACTGGGCTTCCTCCTTGAATTGACTTTAATTGACAAGTAAGAATTGATGGTAAAATGACCGCAAGTCAAACTTATTTAAACTGAATCAATCACATTTCATCATAGGAATTATGCGTGAGATTTTGTTTGACTCTTTGTATTAAGGAAATGCATACAATGCGATATATTTAGTAAGGATTTTTTCATAAAATATTTTTATAATATTTCAGTAATAGAATATAACTTTTATATAAAAATTTTCACGCGGGACATATTTTTAATCAGTTTCCGCAAAAAAAAAATAAAAAATAAAAAATCAGTTTTGAGGATACAGTTACATTTAAAAAAAAAATTATAATAATTTTTTCTTTAAATTCTATAAAATTTCGTCTGAGAGATGACGTAAAAAATCGGAGTAGTTGTACATACATCAGAAAAGCAAGGGCATTATCTTTTTGGTAGTAAAAATTATTTTAAAAGAAATTAAGTAAAAATTGCGAACTACTTACTCTTTAGTTAGATTGCTGTGTAAATAAATTTGAACAACAACAAGTGAAACAACAAGGAACACAATATAATTTAAACTTAAATAAACAGAATAAACTATTACAATGAAATGCGAATCATGACAAAAAATTACTTTTATTTTAGTTTTTCTTTTAATTCATTTATATAGTAAAAAAATAGCCATATTACGAATAACAGGAACTAAGCAGAGCACATTCTACGAACATTAGAAATAAGCCCATCAAAAATTACTAGCAATTGGTGAAAATTGAAAACAATAAAGAAAATTTTTAGTGATCGAAATATTCTTTTTTGACAGATGAACAAATCAACTGAAGTTATCAATTCCAAATTAAATGAAATTATCAAAGCACTTAAAGTGATATCTCCTCCATCGATAATTTTTTAGATACTTTGGATATATACAAGATCTTGATCAAAAAGAACATCCTTGGCTCGAAACAATAGATGGACAAAAAGTTTCAAACTAAGAAAAATGAAGAATCGCTTAAAAAAATAAATTACAGATTTCAATCCCATAACAATTGATAATGGGGTATTGTTAAGCTGTGATTACGCAAAGTACTCATTTAAATAGTTTAAAAAAAATAAGATAGAGATTTTTCTAATTCGACACAATTATTTTTACACTGAAAACTCTGCCAATTCTGATAACAATAATAATAAAGATAAATGATTATTTTTTTTTTAAATGATTTTTATCGATTCCGAAATCTAAAAGTAGATTTATCACATCAAATAAACTATTATGTATACACGTTCTCGAATATGTATACGCTGCCATATATTATTAACTAAGCGATAAATGCATGTTGAGTTACTTTAAGTATTGCTACATCACATATTTCCCCCTCTTTTTAAACGTCTTTTAAAAATTAAATTCACACCAATTTAATTTAATTATAGACAAAATAGAAGAAAAATGGGCATTTCAAACCATTAATACATATCAGAGCAAAAAACATCAATTTTCAAAAGTTTTCTTTTATTTTATTTTTAATAATGTGATTAAACTCAAGGACAGTAAATTGTCCTTGAGTTTAATACCTTATACAAATGTTTTTAGGCAAGTAATATTTTAAGATATAAGAGTTAAGTTATGGCAGGAAATGCGATTTTCATTAAAAGAAGTTTGAAAGAAAGTTAATTAATAAATGCGATTAGGTTTTTTTTTTATTAGCATTATAAAATATTCAATTGATAAAACTTAATGCTATTCTTAATTATTACATAAAAAGGTCAAAACAGAAGGGAAAAAAAAACTTACATTTTTTTTATTGTGTATTGAAGAATATTTTTATAGCGTATTTCTTCGCATTTTGGAAAAGAAACAAAAACCACTACAATCAAATAATAAGATATTCATAAGCCGTAAAACTGTCCACAAAGTCCCTTGAATCGAATGCCTTATCGTTCGTATTATTTTTCATCACAGTCAAAAATTCAAAGCAACAAGGATGAATTGAACTATATTTTTACAAAGGCAGTCGTCTTTTATAATCGGAGTTGTACAGTCGAACCAATTCTGAGTTTATACCCATCAATGTTCAACTCCTTAGCCTTGTAATTTTGAATACAAGCCAGAAGACAAGGAAACTCCGGGATCAAACATAGGGAGAAACTATCCTTAGTGGAGAACCTTTTGATAGAACTATCGCGCTTCTGCGTTACGTGGAGAGAAAAACCACGAAAACTTTCCATGGTTAGCCCGGACATCAAGGGAGCTCTAACCCATGCTTTGTCGAACACAGGGGATATTTCACGTCCGCACTGTGGTCGGCGCGAGTCTGGTGCAGAATTCATATTGACCAACCATCCCTGGGATTCGAACATGGATCATCTCAGCTTACAATCCCCTGAGCTACCAAGGCTTAGACAGTCCCCTTTGTAATACGTATACAAACAGAAAAAAAAGTCAAATTATTTTTGAAATGATAAAAATGTCTAACATATTGGACGCTTGTTCTCAGAGAAATAAATAAAAAAAAAGAAGATAAATACAGTTACAGTTAAAAACTATCAAATTAAGACAGACTTTGAGTCTATGTTAGAAGACTTCCTTCCTACACTTCACAGTAGATTACATGTTAAAGGGATCGATCACTGTTAAAAGCAGTTGTACGTCTCAAAAATCTAGGGCTCTTTATATTCCATATTAACTAATTTCAACGCAAAAATTAGCAAGCACGTGAGTTAGGTTAATCTAAAAATCATTTTCAAAAACAAAATTTAATTAATAAGATAGAAAATATATTTAAAAAAATAAAATAAATAACATGACTTTAAATGCACCAAAAAGTTCATTTAAATAATTTGAAAAAATTGCGATGAAGTTCGCTATGTTTGAATAAATATAGTAAAAAAAAGTTCGGGTTGTTTCATATTTAGTCTTGAGCTAAGCTTTTAAAAAAAATAGTTATAACAGTCAATAATATCTCGTCATCATAATACCAGTCAATTAACTATTATTATTGTAATAACTTGTCATTATAATAATAATCAATGATAATAACAGGTGAATAACAATTTGCAGAATTGAAAGTTATTTTCATCTTATTATCCCTTTTATACATATTTCACAGGAAAAAGCAGATATTAAAAAGAAAGATATTAAAATGAAAATACATAACATATATTAAAAAGAAAAATGGGTTTTATTTCAATTTTTCAATTATAATTAATTTTATCGAACCTAAATGCTTTTGATTAAATTAAAAATAAAGAGATAACAAGTGAAAATTGTCATTTTTAAACTTCTCAAAACCAAATAGCAATAAATTTTTAGCATCAAAAATACATTTTTCCCCATTTCATTACTTTTCTGAGTAAAAATGAAACAATCTCTATTCTAATAAAATTTTACATATTTAAACAGTTCACTCAAAACAGTATATCCACCAAAAAAGAGAAAAGAAATACTCTAATTCATTACGCAAATAAACACTTATCAGCAAAACAAAACAAACAAAAAATCACAAAATGCTCAACACATGAAAAAAAAAAAAAAAAAAAAAAAAAAAAAAAAAANAATAAAAAAAAAAAAAAAAAACATTTTACTTTTCAATTTTTTAACAGTTAAAAAAAAGGGGGCAAGAAAATCATTTTTCAGAAAGCTTATTAGCCCTACGAATTTACAGCTCCCTTTTTTCAAACATTCCCCCAGAGCTAAAATAAAAAGAAAGATACACAAGCATTAAAAAAGGGAAAAGAAAGTCTTGGAAGGGGGGAAAAAAAGAGTAAATTTTACAAAATAAAAAAAAAAAAACGGTGGATACAAAAAAATAAAACAGGGCGCGAGAGGCATATTGGACGCAAATACACATCCATACATCCATTCCCCAGGAAGAGGTAAGGAAAAAAAAAATAATCCACTTAGGGGGGGGGGGCAGGGAGAGCAAAAAAAAAAAGAGGATGAAAAGTGTAAGAGCCTACTTACGTGTCTGTCTTCAGAACTATGAGCTGCAGAGGCGATCGATTCCGGGGTTTCCATGGACACCGCAACAAAGCACACACACAGAAAAAATAATCCAGGGGCAGGGGTGGAGGAATTGCAAAAAGTAAAAAAGAAACAAAAAAATATATTATAAGGGAGAGAAAGTTAGTGGTTATCTGAAAAAACGGATGTTCCTCTTACCTTCTGCAATCTCGGGAACTCCGGGAATAAGACAGAAAAAGGGGGACAGGGGGAAGAAAGTGTTACTTTTATTATTATTTTTTTTTTTACATCATCCCTCCCTTTCCCCCACCTTTTTCCTTCTCCATCGTTTTTCTTTCTCCCTCTCAGACAAGGGCGCACCAATGAAGGGCGTATATTTTAGCCCGTGAGTAGAAGAGGAATTATTTCTCAGAGGGGCGCGCCCGTCGACACCCAGCGCTTATCTCCGAATTTATCACTCAAGCGGAGAGGCTGATGGAGCACTTGATACCCGAAATTATCAATGGAGAAAATTCTCACAATAAACTCTCCTTGGCTTCATGTTAAGAATATTTTATGCTCAAGATATTTTTTTATTCTACCTTATTATTAAAGGTATAAAAGATATCCTTAATAATTAGAAGATGAAACGAATATCTAAAAACATGACTATTTGATAAGGGTTTTTCTAAGAGTTAAGTCCTCAAGGTACCATAATGTCCATCCCGAAGGAACCATAATGTCTATACTGAAGTACTAAAATGTCTATCCTGTACATAATAGAACGTCTATCCTGTAGGTACCAGAATGTCTATCCTGTATGTACCAGAATGTCTATCCTGTAGGTACTAGAAAATATATCCAAAAGGTACCAGAATGTCTACGCTGAAGGTACTAGAAAGTATATCCAAAAGGTACTAGAATGCCTATCCTAAAGGTACCAGAATGTCTATCCTGAAAGTACCAGAATGTCTATCCTGAAAGTACCAGAATGTCTATCCAGAAGGTACTAGAACGTCTGTTCTGAAGATACTAGAATGTCTGTCCTAAGGGTCAAGCTTATTTAAATTTAATTGTAGGCTAAGGTATTTTAGAAGCTACCCTGTGTTTAAGAAGAAAAAAAAACTAACCCAGGCTTAAGTAACTAATCCGCCTAAAGATTTCTGCAAAGAAAAACATAATTTGTGAGACTTGCAAAACAGGACTTAGCAAATTGTACTAACTGTGGCATCAAATTTTGAGACTACTACGTATTTGAGTGCTTTAAAACGAAATTAAATGTCAAGGATTGGGAATCAAATTACAAGAAAAATTTTAAAATTATGTCCTAGTCGTAAAGTGATTTTAAAGCTAGACTAATTTCAACCCAAATAAAACTTTTTATCACATTACAAGTGGGAATCCAAGTTCAAAATAATCATTTCTACGTACACATTTGACTAAAAGCTGATTCTGCAACCCTTGATTTAGCTCGAATAACTTTTGCAACACGAAAATGCCACGGGCAGTTCACCAAGTCAAATTTTTTTGCCTTCTTTTAAAAATAAGTAAAAAATTAGAAAACTTTTTGCCTATTTTTATAATGAGATCTAGAACTATTTTCATAGTAAAAATAAACGCTTGCTCAGTGAAAAAACTCAAAACGAGAAAAAAACAAATCACATTTTATTTTACATTACATATTACATATTGCAAAAAGGCTTCTCACATTTCACTTCAATATCAATTTTTTGTAAGATGTTCTTCTGACTAGCCACAGTAATCACTTTCATCCATGCCAAAGGGATACTAAGATTGCAGGGATGATGAAACAATGCCTAGGCTAGGATTTAAAATTTTAGCTTGTCAGTCCCAACATTAATTATTTATAAAATATTAATTATTTAAACAGCTGCAAAATTTAATTTGGGGGTAGGTTTTTTTTAAATTTTATTTATTTATTTAATTTTTGATTGCAGAAAATAAGAGAAACATGGTACAATACAATTTCTAAAATTCATAGATTTAAAATATATGAAAAACAAAATTTACATGGACTATTTATTTAATAAAAATAAATGCATTCAACAAGAAATGCTCTATTTTTATCAGATTTATGACGAGCATTAAAAAAATCGGCTGTCAATTAAACACTCATAAACTTTAATGACTTTTCTATGTTCGACAATTCATGTGATCGATTTAAATAAGTAAATTACAATAAAATAAAACTTTTAAAATACAAAATTTAAAACTAATATTAAACTCACAAGACGCAATTATAATTACACTTAGATACCGTAATGATAATTAAAAACCATACAATAAATAAATAGTCCATGTAAAATTCTTTCAAATGTATACACTATAGAATAAGAAAATACAAAATATATATATATATATTTAATTTAAGCCATACGTAGAAGTATTTTCGTATACATTTAATAACACTTTTCTATCAACTTAATAAATGCACATTAACTTTAAAATTTGATTAGCAATTTTCATACTCATAATTAAAAAAAATTTATATAGTTTTCCCAAAAAAGAAAAACAAAACTATAGATTGCCTCAGTTTTCATGTAATTCAACAAAGTTTTGTTTTTGGCAATAGTTGCATAGCAAGCAATTAGACTATTAGCACCAAAAATATTTAGGGAAATAACGGATATGTAATTTCGGACTAAACACTAAATTTTAATAACCATCACAGTTACAGCAAACAACATCCACTTTAAATCATTTAAGTCTATGCAACTTTACATACATACATTTTTCCCAGTTTTAAAGAAGAAATAAAATATAATTTAAAAAAAAAAAAAAATTCCTAAATTTTGATAGTTAGGGTTGTGTATATGACGTTTTCTCAAGTCAAAACGTCCTCTTCCAGATTAAGAAGAAGAAAAAAATTAGTTAAATATTGCCTCTCCTTTTTCTTACTCCCTTAAGACAACTATTGCATGGTAATTTCGGTCCATTTTTAAGGCATTAGCGCTTCTCTGCAAACACATAACCTTACATAAAATGATCGCGAAGGAAGGTGAGGTTGGTGGTGTGGCTCAGAATAGCTAAAGGAGGAAAGGGGGGTGCAACCAAAAATATACGAGAGATTGAAATCGGATTAATCGGCCATCGCGCGCTCCCTCTCATTAATCTCGGGTAAGTGGGCCATTACGAGGCCCCGATAATTAGTCCCCGCGGATGAATACAGTCACGTGACTTCATCCGCCTAGCGGCATAATGGCGGCAAATTATAAGCCTGCACCGAGATTAAATTTTCCCCTCCCTGTGTGTGGTGGTTATGCAAGATCCCCTGTCGGCTTTTTGCATATACCGCCAAAACATTTCTCTTACGCGCTTTCTAAATTGGGGGGTCGTTCACGTGATGCTTACCATATTGTTTAAGGATTTGCCTTAGGAGTCCGTCATTTAATAACTTATAAATAATGCTTTGATAAAACTTGGGAGATGTTAAGATTTTTACTGGCGTAGAGCAGTGCATCAATACGGCAGATCAAGCTACGCGGTAGCCATGCAATTTTAAATCAGACGACTCAGAAGACAAGGGAACTACTGGATCAAAAACGACTTTTTCTCGGAAACTAAATTAGTCTAATGGAATGAAATACCATAAGAACCAACCACCTTAGGTGGCAATAAAGAGGTCTTTACATCAATTATCTATTTATCTAACAGCCGATCCAATTTTTGAGTTTACGACTACAAAAGTTCAACTTCGTAGTCTTGTAATTTTGAACCCAATCCAAAAGACAAAGGTACTTCTGGATCAAGCATTGTGAGAAATTTACCTTAGTAAAGAAATGTTTGATGGAACTAACCCACATTTGCGTTGCATGTAGAGGAAAACCTCCCACGGTTAGCCTGACAACAAGGGAACTCGAAACCATGATCTGTCTACCACTAAGGATATCTTACGTCAGCACAGTGGTCGGTGCGAGCCGTGTGCGGAATTTGTATCAACCAGCTATCGCTGGGATTTGAACCAGGTTGACCTCATTGGGAGGCGATACCCTGAGCGGCCACAGATCATTTCTCTTACATCGGGGTTAATTTGCTTCACTGAAGATGATGAAAAAATTAATATCCAAAATTCGAACCTGGGCTGTTTTAAGGTAAAGTAAGAACTCTAATCCCTAAGCCATACCGACTAATATTTGGCGCTATTACTTTTGGTCAAAAATCTTGAAAGAAGTTAGAGTAACTAGTATTTAACGCCTCGCCATAATTGCCGCACGAGGCATTAAAAACCAGAGAGAGAGAGAGAGAGCGATAAGTGAAAACAAAAATGATTTCATATTATACACAAAAACGTCTAGTGGAAGCCTGATTGTTCTTTAAAACATATTAAAGTTAAAAATCCTATTTTTCTCAGCAATCTACGATTTTTATTTAGATCCATAAGTTCTTTGTTAGATACTGGACCAAAAGCTTTCCGCAACACACCACAGTTTAACGTCATGGATTAATAAAAAGTTCAGAAAAAATTAATAAATATTTATATACTATTATTACACTACACAAGACCGCTATTATTACAGTAACTCAACTAGCATTATTCCAAAAATGAAATGAGAATTAAGATTTTTTTTCTTATTTCAGGATTTTGGATATTTTTTTGCACTGTGTAATAATGTGCGTTTGCATTCAACGTTTTTGCAAATACCATTTTAAAATCCTTCATTTTATTATTATTTTTTTTAAGGTTTAATATGAAAATGTCCAACTTAGGACGAAGGAAGAAGATGCTGGTGGTTAATGGAATGCAATTTAAATATAATTACCATCCCATTTTATGCCCATGCTTATATTAATTTCCATTCATAATTTCACGTATCTATTTTAAAACGGATTTCCAGATAATTAAATATATAGTTAATGAGACTCACCGGAGCTAGATCTCTTCTCATCTCTGTGGTCTTTAAGAGCGGCAGCCGATGAAACAGCAGCCGATAGGTGGGCAGCAGGGCCAGCGCCCGCTAAGGAACTCGAAAGTGCTAACAGACCAGCAGCACTACTTGGAGGAAGTGTAGGAGGTTGGAGCCCCGCCATGGCTGCCGCATGAGGCATCATAGGCAAGGGCGGTGCATGCGCGTGTGGAGGCAACTGTTGGGCATGCATCTGTTGCTGGAAAAAAATTACTTATATTTAAATTGCAAAACTAACACAAAAATATATCAATTATTAAGCAAGTATACACTCGGAAATATCCCGCTCACACTTGAACTAACAACGGTAGTACTTTAAAGGAGTGTCTCTGTTACTGTGAATGACCGAACCTCAAGAGAATGTCGACTTTCACCGATGAATGCCAACAATCAACATAGTCACTTTGGTGAATGTCGGAAATATTTGCTATATCCGATTTGATATTAATTTATTAGTTGACATTATTGTATTTATTCAATATTTTAATACCTGCAGATTATAGATCAGGAGAAACATCACTGTTCGGGGTACCGGTTAAATGCATACTGGGAAGGAGCACTTGACCTGAAAAAAGCATTGATGTAGGGCATACCGGGCAGTGGCACTGAACCTTAAAACTCCAGTGTAGAGATTACAGGACAATGACACTTAACTGGACTTAGTATACATTGTATACTTAGTATACTCGGACATTGACCAAAGCGACTATGTGATTGTCAACATTCACCGGTGGAAATCTACAATCACCAATTTCGGTCATTCACAGCAGCATCTTTTCCAAATTTACTCAAAGGACAGAATATTTCAGTTTTATCTCGCTGACCGGTAAGGTTAGCAATTTGGAATATTGGCATAAATAAATTACAAAATTGCGACATTTTGACCTGGTTGTTTCTGATCAATGCAATTACTCTGCACAAAGAAACATATTTAGAGTCTACACCTATTTTAATCCTACTACAAATCTTAATAGACGGTATATTAATAATAATAACAAATATTAATAATAATTAGATACACTACTGCACCAGCAAATTGATAAATTGGAGGCGGATTAGATTATAAAGTACTAAAGATAATTTGGCTTAAGCTTAAATTCACTTAAGTGTCACTTAAAACCTTCTTTCACTAAGCAGGGGTCTGTCCAGACATTTTGTGAAAGGTCCGTTTTTCGTGAAATTGTGAAAAAATTACTCGCATTCTTTCAACCAGGGTCCGCTTTTATGAATTTGTGCAAATAGGGTCCGTTATTGCAAAAAAAAAACTTTTTCAAGGAGTTTTTAAATTGTAAAGACATACAAGATTATGCTCAACACTGTAAAATTATAATTAAAAAAATTAAATTTTAAAAAATAAACAACAATTGCTGCTTCTAAATTAGAGATGCAACATACAAATATTTGGTATTTAGCCTATACTGCTGAACGCAGAATATTCATTTCGGACGAATAATGGAAGAATCGTCTGCCGAAGACAAAACTTAATTCGTTTACATCCATCTTTCTTGTTTTCTGCCCTGGAAAGGGTTTATTCGATTAACAAAATAATAATGAAGATAAACAAATTTGTGAAGGGTCCGATTAAAAGAAAAATCATTTTGTGAAGAGTCTGTTTTAAAGTTAAAATATTTTGTGCAGGTCCGTTTTTATGAGATTTTTTAGGTCATCAAGTCCGTTTTTATGAAAAGATATTTTGTGAAGGGTCCGTTAACGGACCCAAATTTCTTCTAAACAGATCCCTGCTAAGCTTTAATAAGTAAAAAAAATTAACCATAACAAATTCACAATGACATAACCGAAAATATCTAGCGAGTGCCCGGTAGTAGTAACTATACAAAAAATTTGTATCGAATTTAGGGTTAGAGTCAAAACTTTTTTTAGTAAGGACAATCAGATGTCAATAAATTTTACCTTCTCACAGGACGTGTTTCGCAAACGCATCCAATTCCTAATTACATTTTAAAAAAATGTTTAAAAAACTAAGACATACTTAGGTGTGCGTGAACACCAAACATTAACGTTCTGCAATAACGCCACACCCCAAATTATAGGATTATCAAGATATTCAAATACAATTAAAAAGAACTAAACAAATGTAATTAGAAAAAAATAAAGCTATGACAGCTTACGGAACCCTATCGAACAAAATAAAATAAAAAAGGTGAAAACGATAAGGAAAAGATATAAATAACAAGCAGAAATAAAAAATAAAAAGTAGACAAGTGTCATAAGATAAGGGGTGTCGTCTTTTACCCCATCGACAAACCTCTTTCATGCCCGAATTTTGTTTTTTGATGTTCCCGCAGAATCCTTTCCTTTCCCAGTGTATTTGTATGACAATAATGATTAATTACAACTTTTTGGATCCCGCTGCTAGGCTGAGCCAGGTCACGTGATATCCCGCGGGAAGTAATTATGCTCTTTGCACCTCTGCCAGTCAATTATTAGACTTTTCCTTTTTAATTTATCTTTCATTTCTTTTCTTTCTTTTTTTTTTGGTAGGTAATTTATTTACTTATTTATTCTTTTTTTGATGTAAATCAAAATGCGAATCACATCAGTCAACGGTATTTCATTCTAGTTTTCCTTGTTTCGCCATATGGTTTATCCATAAATAAATCGGCATTTGAAAGAAAAGAAAAAACTGGCTAAAGTCTTTTTTATTATTATTATTATTTCGCTTAACAGCCTTTTGTACACTGGAATGTACAAATAAACAAAAATACAACTGGAATTTTTCTATTATTTGAAAAAGGAAACATTTTATTTAATATAAGAGAGCAAATAAGAAAAAATTATTAAAATCTTAAAATCAGATTTCATTACTTTTTCATTCATTCATTTTTAGGGTTCACGCCAGTATGGCGACATCGTGACAATTGTTCTACGAGAGTCGCTAAAATCATATTTATGGGCAACAACAATATTACAAAATAGTAATAAATTTTATTTTTTATTAGTTTTTTATTTTTGCTGCATCGAAGCCATGCATGACTACATGCCCTGAAATAAATGTAAATTAGTTCGTAAATAATTTTTTTTTAAAAAAGCAAGTATACTCGAGATTAAAAAGAAAATATAAAAATCTTTTCTATAAAAAATCATTTTATGTTAGTAGGTTGCATTCATAAGTTAGTTAAATCATCTTGAATTAGTTAAATATTTTCGAATTATACTGGGTTATTATACGCGTTATTTAAAACATTAGGAAACTAAGAAAATCATAATTAATCATTAACAGTTTTTCTTTTCTTTTTTTTAAATACAGTTATTTAAATGTGAGAATTAAGGGGTGAATGAATTGTGAATTACGAGGTATACTTTAAGCTCAAAATTCAGCTTAGAAAGTTATGTTAATATTAACAGCTGTCATGTTAATATAACTGATGTTATATGACGTCAATTTTTGGAATGATTGCTGTATAAAGTTAGTTTGATTTTTTTTATTTACTTTTTTATCGGCGCTAGCATGTTCTGTGCCCCATTTGCATGTTTTATCTACATAAAAATGCGCAATATATGTCCCTGAAATGGTAATGTAAATTTCCTTTTTTAATAAGCGGACATTTTTACAATAACTAATTCAATGGCGTGAATAGCAGGTTCGAACACCATAAGGCCTAATCCACAACAGACGCTATAAAGGATTCAAGAACCTAATTTCAGACCTCAACATCTCTTCACAAAAACCACTTCCATTGTTAGAACTCTGTCAACTAAAAATCCATACAACAAATCTGTTTCACAAGTCGCCATCATTTCTTGAAAAATTGCCAAAAATTTCAATGGAGATCAAAAGGAAAGGAAGAGAAAAAAAAATTAAAAAGCGATAGCGAAAAATTTTACGCTCACCCCGACAACGAAAAGGGTTGAACGCTGAATGAATAGATTTTAATCTCCTTCAAACGTCTCGAGAAAAAGGTTATGAAATAATAATAATAAAAAAAAAGTATCTTATGAATGAAAGAAGACATCTTTCCCTCCCCCCTTTTCAATCTCAACTCTACTACACTTCAATTATTGGCTTATTTCCAAAAGCGGTGCTTTCTCGCCAAACAAGTGCTTAAAAATTTTCTATTTACTCCATAGCGTGGTCTCACTATTTTCACGTTTTCTAGGGTCTCACAGCAGGTTACGGAGTTACTATAATAAACTTGTCTCTCTTCCGTTTCAAATTTATTTCGTTTTTTTTTTCTCCATCCTTCTAACGACGAAACTATTTCGAAAAGAAAAAACACTTTTATATCTTTTTTAAATATCGCAGCGGTAAAGATGATTCAGAAGAGCACTTAAAATTGAATCAATGATTCTTAAATGCAACGAGTTTCCTTAGAGTCTCCTTGTTTAACGGTTGCCACGATATTTGCTTTTATTATCACTTCATTTTTCAATTTAGGTGTTTACAGAAGAGTTAAGAAAATGTTTCAAAATTTTTACAAATAAAATGCCGGTTTGCAAACAGAAAATGCAGTACTTATTTTTTAAAAATAATAATAATTTAGAATACGTAAAACAGATAGAGAGAATTAACACTTTCCTGTATTGTCGGCTTTTACGAAAACTTTTCCAGTCAAAAAAATATTTTCAAATAGCGTGTGTGTTAACAAGGTTCACGACGTTTCATTGGGAGAGCCATACAGTCGTACCGTTTCTTCAATTCTACCGTAGTAGAATTCTTGTTTTAACAGCAGCAGACAACCTCGGATCGGAAGTTCTTGTGACCGCTGGGCAGTAGTATCCCGCATATTCACTTCAGCGCAACGTTGTTACTATAGAACAACAATATTTCTTAACAGATCTTGCGCTATCTCTCTCTATTTGAGTGTTTATATGCATAAATATTTTTCATATACGTTTCTCTGTCGCAGACAAGGGCAGTTTAGAACAGATGTCGAAATGCTAAATCGCCTTATCGCCACAATACGTAGAAATAATCCTACGCTTCGAAACAAAACAGTTCCTACGTCAGCAATAGATAAAGGCTATTCTTTAAGGAAGCAAAACATTACCAGTCTAAGCGACTACGCATAGCTGACTTAGTTACTTTGCTGTATTATTATGGCAAGGATACATTTTTAAAGGAAGCTTTAAATTTTGAGGTACAATAGTTTTATTACTACGTAATAAATTACGGACAAGGATCAAGTCTTTAGGACTTTTACTGATAAAGAAAAATAAGAAACTTTTTAATAATTCGATTTATGAAAACTAAAAAGAAACCGAAATGTTCTGATCACGGCCTCATCCTTTTTATAAGAATGCAATGCAAAATAGCAACAAAAAAAAAATTTAAGAAAATAAGTAAAATTTGGTAATTTTATCAAGATACCTCAGAACATGAAATAAAAACCATTTATTCGGTTAAATTTACTCGTCAGTTTTGTATTTTTTATTAAATGTGAGGCAATAAGAACTATAATTTTGAAAACTAGAATTTCCAGTAAACAGTCACCATATAAACGTTAAAATTACCAAATGAATGGTTTATATGCCGTATATTTTGGTTTTTATTATCAAACTTATTGTAATTATTTTAAAAAGGAACTAAAAACTAGAAATGTCATTATCATACCGTAGAGTAATTATATCATAATTATTTTTTTTTCCGGTTAATTCAATTTGGACTAACATTATTTTAAATTTTATAACCGGTGTTGAACAGCCAATCCAATTCTGAGTTTAAGTCTATTAATGATTAACTCCATATCTTAGTGATTTTTAACTCAACAAGAAGAGAAAAATTCTCCGTGGAGAACTTTTCGATGGAACTAATCCGCTTTTGCCATACCAAAAAAAAAATTAGGAAATAAGAAAAAAAAACATCTCACGGTTAGCCCGAAGACAAGGGAGGGGATTCTAACCCATGATCCGCCAAACACTGAGGATATTTTATAACAGCATTGAGGTCGGTGTGAGCCAGGAGCAGTATTCGTGTCAACCAGTCACCGCTGGGATTCGATTCAGAGAAACTCATTGGGAGCCTAGCGCTCTATTCCGGGAGTAATCGGGTCTCAGGAAGAAATATTTGAAGCTAGCAAACAACAATTCGAATTTTTTTAATGTAAATATAACAAAAGCTTTGTTTCTTAAGTAGTTTTCTTTAATACGCACACACGCTTGAGCTGTATGTGCACATAACAGCTACTATTCTTTCCGCACGCGTGGGTAAAAAAAAAGATAATTACTTATGTTTGAATACTTTCTTGGCGTTTACTCTTTTTAGAATCACCTTTGAAAGCAGCTTCTAGGCATTAATGAATTAAAAATTATAATTTTTTTTTCTTCCTCTAATGGAATGATAACAAGAAAACTAAGTAAGATAATAGGCAACAAACATTCTAATGTCAACACAGCATAAAGCACAACTCAAAAATAGACGCAACAAATCAAAACCCAAATCAATGCCTCCATCTAACAAGAACAATGTAGCCCAGGAAACGACTCCAATAAACTTAAAAATATATAATAGTTCTGACGTTAAACTGCGCGAAGGGAATGAGAATAAAATAAAAGCCAAGTTGTTTGCCAAGTGCTGCAATTGCAACTTCACTTAACTTCATAAGAATATTGAAACAGCACAATACCAGAAGCGATAAGACCGTCTCATTGACACAACACTGTCAACAATCCAAGTCCACAAAAGATAAGCCCTTTTCAGATGGTTTTTCTTTTTCTCTTGAAAACCGCGTAGGAAGTGGATAAGCGGGTGTTTCACTATTTACGCTTTCGCACAAGGAGCTAAAAATAAATTAAATAAATAATTTTTGTTTTCCCGGAAACTATTAGAGGAAATTCACTCGAAGCAGTGTTGAGGATTTGGAAGCCATTAAACTGTACAAAAACGAATGAAAATGCTTAAAACTAATTATACTGAAAATAATAAAAATAAATATCTAACTCTATTATTATTGATATATATTTTTATATTGGTTCATTATTAATTAAACTCTCACTGTTCACTGTAATTTTTAAGCCTACGTTAATAAATTTTAAAATATAAAATTATATAGAACATCTATTGCATAAAATGTAGCAGTAAAACAAAAACAAAACAATATTTTTAATTTTATAAACATTTTTAAAAAATAAAAACCTATATTAAATGTAAAAATGTTTTCCCTGTTAAAGTTTGTGCCATTTTCTTAAGTTTAGGATTGTTTTTACATACAATAATTACATTATAGTAGTTAATTTTGGAAGTTTTAATACTAAGTATGAAACCAACTACTTTTAATTAAAAGGTTTTTATTAAATACATTTTAAAAAAGTTGATTCATATTTAAAAATAGTTTAATTAGTAATTTTTTAATTAGCAACAAAAAGAAACGAAAAAAAAAGAGGTCTTAAAAAGCTAACAACTTTTGGCTACATCTCTACAAAAAATAGTAAAGTTACTACACAGTTACTTAATGTAAAACTTAGGTAACCTGCTTAATAACGGCACAAATAAAAAACTTTTTACATTCAACTGTAAAACTCGAAGGACTGTAAATATTAAAAGTATATATTTTTTTTTTTTTTTTTTTTTTTTAGTAGAGACAGTGTTTCNTTTTTTTTTTTTTTTTTTTAAAATTTAAGACACCCCGACCTTCAAAATAAACCAATCACAATCCCTCTTTACGTTTATGTTAAGAATTTTTATGTTAAAAAATAATCACATAATTAATTATGCAATTTACTAAGGGTTTTTGTTCCAAAAAAAGAATTTACTATCTTACGTCAGCATTATTCATACCCCCTTAGTGTTTATTTGATTAGCTCCTTTCTAAAGATAGATAAGCATCTTTCTTTACTGGGATATTTCTTATTAACAACATGTTAAACTTGGTAATTTATCAAACAAAAAGGCTCTAAACAGATATCCCTATACGCTTCATATATAATATCAAATCTGATGTTACTAATAATATCTATATATGAGATATAAAGGTTTAACAAGTTTTAGAGCTTCGTCAAATCGAGATAACGCACAAACCAACAGGAACAATACACATTGTATTATACATTTTAAGATCAAAACAAACAACTCTTCAATACTCCTGCAAATAAATAATCTAAACATTGCCTACGATAAGCTTTGTGGAATCTGTTTCCAACGGGTAACTGATACAGATAAAGTTTGGTGCAATATTTGCACAAATGTTATTTGCTTTTTTGTCAATTAGTGATACCATTTGCCAAAGGTCTCAGCTATTCTTACTTATTTCATGCACAAAGATTTTTGTAAGCACTTAAAACATTGCCGTCATAAAATAAATTCAAAAGAAAGAAAAAGTAAATACAATAGATAACAGATAACAAGGAATGGCAATTCGTTAGATATTTTTACCTACTGATATCAGGGTTCCAACAATTTAGCTTGATTTAAATCAACTGGATTTTTTTATTTTATTTAAAATAAATAAATAAATCAGTGACTTGAAAATTAACCAGGCATATAATAGGCATTATTTACTTTTTTTTTAACGATTTCCGTAGATCTAAAACATTTTTTTGTAAAGATATGACTATATTGATAAGCTTCAATTAAAGCAAAATTACAATAGTACTTAATACGTAATAATTTGCAGTTAAAAAAAGACATTAAAATTTTGGAGTTAATGAATGTGATGTTAATAGTTAACGAACAGAAACATAGGTCAAATTTATGAATCAATAAAACAAACCGATTTATTGAGTTTATAATAGTGACGTGTTTTGTCATTGAAGATAAATTTTTGACCTATAGTCTAGATTAAATTTTGTAGATAATATAAAATAAAAACATATCATAAAAACAAAAATTAAATTAATAAATTTTTTAATTAATTTAAAGTTTTTTTAAACTAATTTTAATTAAATTAATAAGTTTTTAATTAATTTATACAGCAAACTAAAACGTCATTAATCAAACTGATGAAGCCATATACTCACCCCAATTATTGAATTTAGCTCTGTCATTGTGACTTGTTTTGCCCTTTCAACAGCAGCTGCCACCTGCTGCTGGTGCTGTAAGAAAAAAATATATAAATATTTTTACGAAAGAAATATTGTTAATATACAATTGCAATAAACATTTCAAATCAAACAAATAAATTGGATGAAACAAAATATCCATTTAACATTTACGGAGATGTGATTGGGTAATCTAGTCTAGAATAGCAATTTTCATTGGTTAAATAAAATTAAGATATGCAAATTTTGTAGTCAGAGTTGGCAAGGCTTAGGACAGAATGGATTAATCCACGGTTTAAACCGTTCTGTCCAAAACCCCTTTGTCTTAATCTGTCCAAAACCCTTTTGTTTAAATGATGTCACAATTTAAAAAAAATATTGTGAACAATAAATGGTTAATTTTTGAGCAAGAAACAGAATGAAGAAAAGTTTTTGTTGTATTAAAAAAGTTTATTATTAATATTGCATTATTTATCCTTATGCAAAAATATTATTTATCAGTATTAAAAGCAATTCACTTTTGTTGCTCAATGAATTGTGGAGCTTTAAAAGTTATAAATCTTTTCCTATATTATTTTCCTCTAGTAAGTTAAAGCAAATTGTATAAAAAGTATTAAATATTTATTAATATATGTAATTATTAGGTGTACAATGGTTACACACATATTAAATTTTTACCTTTTACCAATGTTTTGGACACTTCAAGACAGTAAAACCCACGTCCTGTCCAAAACCAGTATAGGACGTCTAAAACTCCAACCCTGTTTGCAGTTTATGGAAATAATTCAAAACCTTTTTTTGCTTAGATCAAAAAATTGTTTCAATGCATTAACTTAAAACAGAGCTTGAGTTTTAAACAGCATACACTATAAATTACTTGCTTTAAAAAACTAACAAATAAAAAAAAAAATTTAAAATCTGATAAACAAAAATTTGAAATATAGAAGGAAAAAAAAATATTTAACTTTGAAAAAATAAAAAAAAGAAGTACAATTGGCGAGATTTATCCACTTTTAGATGAAAGTTATAAAATGGAATAAATAATTTTCGACTTAGGCTTCATGAGCCAAACAATGTAATTGGCAGATAAGTTTTTGAAACATTACAAAATTAGATCATAAATTCTTTTCATTCAAGTAACTCACTCGCAAAGTAACTTCAAAGTAACTAGCAATTTAAGTATCGGAGTAAAACCATATTTATGAAAGTTATAAAAAAATAAAGGTTCGTCTCCATATTGCAAATATTACTAAAAATAAGGGGTCATTATCAAATTTATGAAACGGGAAGTCAACTGAAGTATAAAAAAAAACATATCACTGATTATTTAAAATCAGTATCTCCATTTATAAAAATTTCGAATGAAATAAATGCAAATAACAGGCTTACCTCTTGAGATAGGAACGGTAAAATTTGTGCTATGATGGCATTTAACCTTTTGGCAATCTCTGTCTGTAATAAAAAAGAGGGATTAATTAAAAATCATTTTTTAAAGATATAAATAACTTTCTATTTAGAAAATACCTACATCAAAGTTGGCAACATTTCACAATAAAAATTAGGTACATTTTTATGCTAATGAAATAAACGAGAAAAAAATAACTAAATAAGGAAATATTTTAAATAAAATCAGGATTTTTTTCAGAAATTAATATTATAATATTAGTGATATAAGAATAACAGTTATAAAAATGATGTATTAAGTTGTGAATTCTTATTCGACTGAATTTCTTTCGACTTATTTTTTAATGTAAATATGATTTTTCAGGGATTTTTTCATTTTTTAATAGAAAGGAGGGGGGAAATAGGGAATAATATCAAAGCACTACATTTGCATATTACTGCATAGTAGGAAAATCACCTCAATGTACATAATAAATGCTTTAAAAAATTTTTTTTTAATTTATCTATGTTTACTTTATATCTGGGATTTAAAGCAACAACTAACTTTAAAAATAAAAATTTCTGATCCTTAAAAAAATAAATAAAAATTATATTATTGTATACACACCTTTTATTGCAACAAATTATAGTTATAATAAAAATTCTTGCTCGAGAAATTTAATTAAACAACCTAAAAATATATATAACATTTTTTTAAAACAACTTAATCATTTAACTAGTATTTAAATAATAACGATAAAAACTTCTATCCAACTTCAGAGAAATATTACCTTTATATTAACTTTTTAAAAACAGTCACTGATAACATTGCAAGCTTTAATGATTGTTAATTACACTCATCTGTTATTTTAGTCGAAATTTATTCTAATTTTAGATTGTTCTAAATAAATTAAAGTAAAAATTAAACTAATCCGGATTCTCAGAAAGACGATAAATTTTACAGACATAACATTCGTTTTCTTTTAAATTTACCTAATTTAATTAAAGGCTAGTAGGACATTCAATTCGGCAAGCGCACTACTGCACAAGGAATTACGCATTCATTAAACCAAAATAAATAACTCGGTCTCTTACAAATCAATAATATAAAGAAAAAATATCCGATAATAACCACTTCGGCAAATGGAAAAGAAAAATAATAATAAAAAGAAATGTGGGGGAAAAAATTTCTGTTAATTCTGTAGAACAATAATGCAGCATTAAAACCTCACAGTTACAACAGTTACAATTAGAATGAAGTTTTCGTTAGGATTTAATTTTAAGGTTGAAGTGTTGCCAGTAGGAAAAACTAATTTATTGAAGAATAAATAAATCAAACACGCTCATGCGTATCCCACAACCACATTTGTTTGTGCTGTTATTTCAAAGATACGCCGACTTCGATGTACATTAATTTTTTTAATAGTTAATCTTTATATAATAATAAAGAACGAAACCAATTTGATATAATAAGCAATTTGGTGATTTAGTCTATTTCTAAACCAAACAAATAAAACGATAACTAAAAAAAAAGTAGTTGCGAAAGATCCGCAAGTGATGTCAAAATAAATGAAAGTCGTTTGCAAGTCACGCAACAATCGTTTTGTGCCTGCATCAATTCTTTATCCCCTTCACTTTTTTTTGTCTCTTTTTTATATACCCATGCAATTGAAAGAGATTATAGAAGTCAAACGATATTGAAAGATCGTTATTTTAAGAGAAAATGAATCTTCATGGAAAAAAAATCTTAAAAAATACATTACGAACTTAAAGAGAGTGAGTCTCTTTGTCTATTTTTTCGAGGGCTAAATAAAATCTTCTTATAATAATGCGCATATGAATATTCAAAGACATTTAGGAACGTCGTAATGGAATATGTTCTAAGAGTTGATCACTAGCAAAAACAGGTGAAAGAATATTGTGGTTTTTTTATATACGAAAGATTTTGAAATGGTAATTTTTATTAAGAACACAAACATTATGTCATCGCACCTTGGCCTTGTAACTTATTTGTGTAAACATCCACGATTCCTCTTTCGTTGAAGGTCGAAAGTTACAAAAGACTATGTAACAAATTCGATTATAAGTGCTAATATTCAAGTATCGATATTTTTTTCCCCCCATATACAGCTGCATAATGGGAGTCTTCAAATGCGATTCCTTATTAATTAATTCTGACGGTGTACAAATTACCAGCCAGCATACCTGAACGCCAATTGGTTACTTCGTTTTTCGTAGTTCTTAAAATGAATAAAATAGATAAAGAAGATAAATATAATGAATGAAATGCATTGTGATGTCAAAATAAATTTAACGAATTTATAACGAATACCGCTAAGAAAAATATAACGAATCGAATGAAATACAGGGAAAGTCAAAACGAATACGCCAATTTTATCAGTGCACAATCTAAAATGTAATAAATGTATTACATTCTGTTGTTCGTCATTAATTAATACTGACGGTATACAGTTGTAAGTCAAGCATTAGTAACGTCGTTTTTCGTAGTTGATAAAATGAATGAAATATATTGGTAAGAAATGTAGAATGAATGAAATACAGGGCAAACGAATGCGCCAAATTTATCCGTGCACAACGAAAAATGTAATAAATGTATTCATTAAAAATGCATAAATATGCAGAGGTATTATCATTCATATAGACTACTAATATATTGGTCTAGCTATATGACGAATTGGCATAGGTTTATAATACTTAATTCCGAAATAAATCCGAAGTATAAAATGTTTCCTTTTTCATTGTACAAAGAGTAGTAGTACTGGTCAAAAGATTTTAAGAACTCTACAAAATTGCCTAGGGAGTTTAGAACTTGGCATGTCCCCTTTCATCTGGATGCCAAAAACTTTAGATGATGAAAAATATCCCTAGTGACCTATGAACACTTTCTTTTTTTTTTTTGAAAGTAAGTCTCATATGAGAAGGGAGGTATGTCACGGATGGGTAGTTTGCATCTCCCCGACACACTGAGCAGAGAACGGGGAAAGGATGATCCCCGTCACGGGAGAGCGACCAACACTAACGAGACGGGGGCTGATGTAGCAAATCCAGCCATCCTTCCCGCCGTTACGCCCCTTTCTCAAAATCGTCCTGCCGTGAAAAATTAGGGGGGAGGGCATGAAAGTGCGACGGTTCGCAATAATTTGTAATCTTAAATAGCACATCTTCTCAACAAACTTAAGACATTTTTATATCACAGATGTATAAAGAAAATAAGCCCTGGGGAGGGAGTGAAGGGAGAAGGGTGGGGAGGGGTGATTATCAGTGACAGACACGCTAACCTTGATGATGGATGCGGTTTAATCTGGCTTTGGGAATAGCAATTTACAACTTAATTGAAAAATTGCACAGTTCGTTTTTTTTACAGGCGTGAATACTTCCCTAAGATAGCTTGAACGATTTTATTAAAAATTATTTTATGACATGCAATTTAGAGGATAATCATCTTCAGTAGTTGGGCTTTAAATAGAGAATTATTAAACCATTAATTTATTTGCTGTCGGTGAAATCAACATCAATTATGTTAAGACTTGCTTTCACGCAGCGTAAAATAAATAAGCCTAAATTAAACGTAGAATAATTTCACTACCGATAAATTTCGCGATATTGTCTCATTTTATCCATACGCAAAAGTTTGAAATTAGTAACAGAATCTGAAAATCTGCTATTCAAAGAATCTTTTGCTCAAATAATTCATCATTTATGGAAACGTTTGCTCAAAAAAAATTTGTCATTTACATCATTCATTGCTGAATAAAAATTGCTAGTTATTGTTTGATTAAAATAATATCTGCCATTTATGGAATTATTGGCTGAGAATTTTAGATATATAGCACACCTTATGTAGCATACTATACCTAACGGTTAGCAAAATTAATTTTCGACATCAACTTGTAAATTCAATTAAATTTTTAACATATTTCTTAAATAAGAAATTATAAATTTTTTTATTTTATAAATTAACATTAAAAAACAACCTTAAGGCTTCAAAAGCAAAAATTAATTAAAACAAAATTTTAATTTATTAAGCCTATACTATTGTCAATCACACGAGTTTTGCAGTATAGTATAGTTATAACAAAATCCAACACCACCAACCTTTGATGAGTAAAAGCATATGCAATATGAATATTTCGATCATTCCATTGCAACGATAAAAATTTTCAATAATTTATAAATTAACATCTAACTTTATATATCGTTCATAGATTTAATATTATAGGGGAAATGATACCGTTTTTAATAAAAAAATCCCGTTCTATACTCAGCACGTGGGTAGAACAATGACACCTTTTGTAGTGCCTTCCACCCTCTTTGTTCAGGGAAGACCAAACAGGAGGGGGATATTGATGACGTCAGAAATAATCCGAAATATTCAAAATTAAGCACGAATTTTCATTCCATGGTCATCAAGCTGACATGCATAACTTCGTTTCATAAAAATAACAAGAGGAGTTGAAGATATGGAATCGTTTGCCTCATATTCTATGCAAGTCCACCCCAATATGCACCTCCCCTTTCCTGTTCCGTTTTAACGCATGGGTGAAGATGGAACATACGATGCGGAAAACAAGTTATTTTCCAAGTTGCTCATCCCCTTTTTTCCAGATGAAATAGAAAATCGAGAAGAATGCTGTCACTGTGAAAGCCATGGACAATGGAGATAGGGATCGCACCTATCAAGACGATTGTTACAACTGCTAGCAGATCATTGATGTCATGCCCGCCATCTATTGAAAAGACATTTCATTATAGGTTTAAACAAAAAGAGAAACGAAATGAAAAATATACGGTTGTTGGTTTTGTAATCAGAAAAGAATTGAATCTACTTGAGAAATTTGAGCACGTTTTCTCTTTTTCAGCAACTATTCAAAGAGAAAACAATTCGAGCAACAAGAATCTAGCGATAAATTTATCGCACATCTGAGAAATTTAACACATATATCAGCAATAGAGATCTTAACATTGAAAATTGAGTACGAAACAAAGATCTTGGTATTTGAAATAGGTGAATTGATTTTGACTTTGAAAATTGTATAGGAAGAAAATCT